GACTGGAGTTCAGTTCCCAGCACCACATCAGGTGGCTCATACACACCCACAACTCCAGTTCCAAGGGAGCTGCCACCCTCTTCTGGCCTGTGTGGGAACCTGCACACATACGTGAACATATGCACACAGATAAATTAATCTTTTCTAAAAAAGGAGACAGAGAAGGGCTGGAGAAACGGCTCAGTGGTTAAGAGCACTGGCTATTCTCCGTGAGTTTCCAGGTGATATTCCCAGTGTCTTCATGGAAGTTCACAACTGTCTGTAACTCCAGTCCCAGGGGATCTGATGCCCGTTCTGGCCTGGGTGGGCACTAGGCACCCATTGGGTACACAAATATACATGCAGGCAAAACAAACACATAAAAATAAGTAAAACTTAAAAGAGAAGGGATGGGAGGGGGAGGGAGGGAAGGAGAGCCTGTAGAAAAGAAATGACAAAACTTCTTAGAAACATTGATGGAAAGGGGTTGAGAAACACTGGAATCAGCCAACCTTGTATAAGGGGAGTGAGTCCAATTTAGTACTGACGTAATACTCCCTTCAATAAATCTTAAGAGTCTCTAAAATAATGTTTGGGAGTCTTAAATCCATGTTTTATCCATAAAAATTAGCCTGTAATTGTCATTTAATTGGCTATGTGTTGGGTCTGTATTGTCAGGTTAGTACAAGAAAATTCTAACCTCATAAAACTGATGAGTGGGACTCTTTCTACTCTCTGGAATAATTACTGGAAGGTTTGACCTTTTCAGCAAATATATCTGGCCAGAAACATTGCTCATGGAAACTCCGTAGGTACTGGATCACTTCCTCTCACGGTTATTAGAAACATAGCTACAGGTCCCAGAAACCACGTGACTCCCTTGAGTGGTACACTGGAAGCTGACATAAAGCCCTTTTACCCCCTACTTGCTTTGGATTATTGTGTTTTATCATAGCAATAGGAAGGAAAGCAGAGCACCCTGGGTAAGATCCTATCCTGATCTCAGCCTGTATCCGCATGCTAACATGTTCATTGGTGTCCATCTCTTCCTGTTGAGACAGTGGTAGACCCATTTTTGGAAGAAATATGTAGTTTTTCCGATAGCTGTTAAGAGTTTCCCTTTGTCTTTAGTCTTACACGATTCTGAGGTCTACTTTTAGTTACTCTGATTGACATTCCTGGGGATTTCTAATCTGGAAAAAAAAAAGTCTTTCACAAATCCTTGGAAGTTCTCAGCCAGTGGCAGTTTTTCAGATACTGCCTTCCTCCCGTTCTCACATTCTTAGGAGAATATATGGATATCCATATATCCAGATATATATCCAGAATATATCCAGATATATGGATGAGAGCGTCTCCTTGTCCACCGTGGGCATTGCTTCTTCTCAGTGTCTCCCTGTCCACTGTGGGCGTTCCTTCTCCTTAGTGTCTCCTTGTCCACCGTGGGTGTTCCTTCTCAGTGTCTCCTTGTCTACCGCGGGCGTTCTTTCTCAGTGTCTTTCACCTTATTTCTTTGCCCTTCACACTGTCCACTCGCTTTTGTATTTGAGGTAGTTTATTTTTCTCTTCTTAAGAAATCCATTTAGCTGTTTCTCATGACTGCGTGTTCATTTCTCATATTTTCAGTTTCTTATTTCCTTACATATACTGTACCTAGGTGCATATCCTGCTTTCTAAACCCGCTGTCTGAATTCTTTGCCCAGCTGACTCTATTTGCTCAGCCTTCCAATATCTTCCTTGCTCTTGTTCATGGTAACTTGATTTTCTATGTACTTTGTGGTTTACTACTGTTATGTTTTTACCACCTTCTTGGGACATTCTGCCTGAGATGGCTAGTTTGCAGGCACTTTCTTCCAGAAAGGGCTAGTATTTTATGAGGCTCTGTGGAAATATTTCAACTGAAATTTAGGCTGAAAGTTTTTCCAATACACACAAATGATGCATTTATCCAATTATTCTTTATCAATAAAAAAAATCAGGAGTCAGATATTGGGGTAAGGACCTGAGAGATCAGAGAAGCAACGGATTAGCCACCAATGACTTCCTACCTCTTCCATTCCTTCCTCCAAAAGGGCCAAGATCCTCTCTAAGCCCTGCCTTACTACTTCCTCAGTCCTCCAAAACCTCTATGGTTAATTTTGGTCAAGTAGTGGCTATCTCCACCCTCTGATTCAAAACAAACTTTACTGTTACCATGCAATCAAAATATCACACAACACACAAATCCCTATGTGGGACCTTATATCAGGAGCCTTTTCTTTTTCCCTGTCCCTTGGACCCAAATCTAAGGCAGACATTGGTTTTTTTTTTGTGTCTCCATCTGAAGATAAAGGTATCCCTCTGGAGAATTCTCATTTAGGCATCTGATTTTTTTGTTAGTTTGTCCATCTTGGGTTGACTGAACGTTCATTCTCCTTTATCATCACATGGGCCATACGTACTCAGACTCAGCAGGGGGTCTCTGATTTGTTCAGTGGTCCTCAGGATATGGAAGTCAGCTAAGCTTCGCTTACATTTCTAGTTTTGAGATTTCACTTGGCCACGTGATAGCTCTATGTTGTGTATATATGTCAACGTTAATATTCTTTACCTAAGAGCTCTTTTCCGTAGTAGTTCAAAGTCCCTGATCCTACGGCAGGGAACGGCAGTCCTACAACAAACCTATTACAAGCTCATCTTTACTCTCTAGTTGTCTTAATTGTACATGTGTCCTTTCGCTTTCTAGGGGCCTTCCAGGTAATAGTCTGGTTTTGACAGTCTATGTTTAATATAGACTGTTAGGAAATGGTTAGTGGTAGTTCATCTGACATAACCAGCAAGAGATGAGGGTCTGCCTTATGTCAGGCAGCATTGTAGGAAGTGAGAAAAACAGACAAAAAGTCTTCCTCCCTGGCGATCTTGAATTCTGGCTGAAGACAGGGATATAGGTTGCCATAGGTCACATGGCAATGATGCTATAAATTAAATAAATAAGTAGAAGGGAGCCTTGCATTTGTGGAGAGAATAGCTCACGGGTAATTTGCCAAGGGATGATAGTTTCAAGGAAAAGAAGCTATGAGCCCTCAGTGCAAAGATCCAGGAGTTTCATACATGCCCAAGACAATAAGGAATGCAGATTCTCTTTTGTTTCATTTTTATACTGCCACAAGCATTCCCTCTGAAATCTTGATTTTCCCTTTCTGCCTCTTACCCCAACTATAGCTTTGGTGCTTCAGCTGGGATAACTGACCTGCATGATCTTGTAGATTCCTTAATCTCTGTGCTGGTTTGCCCTCCTAATATCAAATGCAAAAACATTTGTAAAGGTGCCTGGCCTTTGAGTGGCTACTCAATAAATGCTGTTTATTTGTCCCTCATTCTCTGTTCACTCTCTTTCTAGTGTCTTGATGGTAAAAGTGCAATGGTACAATCATCTTGCAACACTGTGGAGAACACGTGTGGTGGGCAGTTATAAGAAGTTGTAGTTAAAAAGAAAAAAGAAACACACACACACACATATACACGCAAGCACACAAAGCTGATTGTTGCTCTAAGCCAAGGAGATAAAACCACGCCCTGTGCATTTCCCTTCAGAAGATATTTTCTTGTGTTCTGTGCAAGCCAACACTCCAGGAAGTCTCCACTGTGTATGTAGCAGTGTGCAGAACTTTCAGTTTTTGTCAGACCTGAGCTAATTAGAGGCTTCGTGTGTGTGTGTGTGTGTGTGTACGTGTGTGTGTACGTGTATGTGTGTGTGTGCGCGCACGTGTGTGTGTGTGTGCACGTGTGCGTGCGTGCTCCGAACTTGCTCTGCCTCTGGTTTTGTAAGGGAAATTGGTAAGTTTCTTTCGAGTTTGTTGATGTGCTACTGAAAATGGAGGAGAAGCCTGGATCAGAGTGAAGCTGCAAGGATTCTGTAGTTTGGGCCCGAAAGAAACTAAAATCTAAATTTAGAAATTATATTGGGCCTTAAAGTTATTTGTACTCCCTTAATTAGATTTTTTTTTTAATTTGCGGGTCCTGAGACCCAAGTTTCAGGCAGTTTCTGTGTGTGTGTGTTCATATGCATATATATCACACATGTGATATATATATGTCATATATATGCATATGTGTGTATATATACACATATATGTGTGTGTTCATGTGAGTATATATGTATACAGTATTACACATGTGTATTTTTCCATGTGAGGAAGCCATGGGTTAACAGAGCCTCTTGTTTTTATGAAGCTACAGGACCTCTCACTGGGACCCAGCATTCTAATTAGTGTAGGCATTCTGGCTGGCAAGCCCTAGAGATCCCATCTCTGCCTCCATATGCTGGGATTACAAGCACCCCACACACACACCTGCTTCCTTATGTGGGTGCTAGGATCCAACTCTGGTTCTTGTTCTTAAGCAGCAAGCACCTTACTGTCTTAGTTACTGTTCTATTGCTGTGAAGAGACACCAGGCAAAGACAATACTTATAAAAGAAAACATGCAATTGGGGATCGCTTACAGTTTCAGAGATACATGATCATCATGGTGGGAAGGAGGCAGACATGACACGGGAGCAATAGATGAGAGCTCACATCTTACCTACAAGTTGCAAGGGTAAAGAAAGGAGAGAGAGAAAGAGATTGATTCTGGGCCTGGCTTGGCCTTTTCAAATCTCAAAGCCCACCCCCACTGACACACCTCCTTCAACAAGGTCACACCCACTCCAACAAGCCATGCCTCCCAACCCTTCCTAAATAGTTCTTTCCTCTAACTCAGGACCAAGCATTCAAACATATGAAACTACAGGGGCCACTTTTAGTCAAACCTCCATACCAACTAAGCCATCTCTCCAGCTCCTTGATATGCTTTTGAGAGTGACTCTCCATGAGACTTCGATCAATCTGTTTCCTCTCTCCTCATCCCAAGTGTCTCCTTGCTTTCTATGATGGCTGCCGTTGCATAGGATCTGAGTGACATCAACGTAAGATGAGTGTGCTAGACGTAAGCAAAAGATAACTATTTACATCATATCCTCTTGGATTTCCATCTGTTCTCAGCCCTCACGTTGACCATGCCTTGCTGGACCTGCCCTTCCTTCGACTCTTTAAGAAGGTGCCCTTTGACCTCCGAGAGCAGCTGGACGACCCATTCCGAGGATACCAGCAGTCCTAGTGTTGCTCCTTCATGCACGGACCTGCAGCTCCTCAGTGCTGAGGAGCAGGCAAGCAGCCGGACTTCCAGGACCGACTCCACGGGTAAGTCAGAGTTCCAAGCTAGAGCTCTCTGCAGATCACTTTTGGTGTCCGCAGGTCCTCCTTGAGCTCCTCTTTCCCCCACAGCCAGCTTTGTCTGCAGAACAAATACATATGTGGTTGTCCGGTTCAAAAGCTAGCATCCTCAGTGGTTTGTAATGGCATCGGGAAAATGGATAAACAGACTGACTGGCTACTTGACCAAGGCTTCACTTTGGGAAACCATTTGATGGTGTGTCTCATAGCCTTGCTCTCTGACTGTTTAGCACAAGTACCGTTTCCCCATCAATGCATCCTCTTACAGTTGCTGCTGAGCTGTGTCTAATATTCACAAGGCTGAATCTCTCATCCTACCGCCCACGCACCTTTCCTCCTCAACAGGAGGAAGGTGAATCTCAACAGGGAGAAATTAATTGTTAAGCGAAACAGAATGAGAATCTGGGTTCAGCCGTGGCGTCCAGACTGCTAAGGATTTTGCAGCCAAGTGCCTGAAGCATTGTGCCTTCACTGAGCTCTGTGACAGCCTGTAATGTCCCATGGTCTCATTTGTCAAACTTCGCAGTAGGCATAGGGTGCAAGTCTGGTCTTCACCCCAGGTAGAAGATGGGTCTGCCAACAAGCACTATCACGGGCTCTTTGGGCTGGTATTGAAAGATGTATGTTCTTGGTGTTCACTGCTAGTTGGTCTATGGGGGAAATGATTCTCATACACACCCCACGGTGTCAATAGTGTTTTGTTTTCCTTCTCAAAAATATTGTGAAGATTGTCTCTAGGTCATTTTTAAAGTTTAGATACATTTTTTTTTTCTGTGATCCTGCATGGAATATCAAAGGTTCAGGCAGGATTTGCTTTGGGATTTGATAAAATTGCCCACCAGCATAGTTCACCAAAGACTTCATCTTTACCAACCGTTCTTCCTTATGGCATTTTGTTTCATAACCATTCCTTCAGCGTGCGTTAGTCTCTGTGGCTCATGTGGCTGGTATGTGCCCCACAATTCCGTGTCCACCATGGGACAATCTCGTGGGAAGGAGGTACCTGTAGCAGCTGGACCTGTTAGGGAGAGAGGCTGAGTGTCCCTTCATCTCTCATTGCCTTCCACTTCCTCCCCAAGCCTTCACAGGGAGGAAGCACACACTCTTTGTACTGTTTATGGATGCTCAGATTCCACAGTCATCCATGCAAATCCTGATTCTGCCAAATACCAGCCACATGCCTTCAGCAATCCTTACACTGTATACATGCATATATGTATAACGACATGTGTGTATAAATGTGTTCTTATTTTTTCACATCGTTTTGACCAAATACCTGACACGAAACAACTTAAGGGGGAAGAAGTTTTTAGGGCTCGTGGTTTGAGAGGACGCAGTCCGTCCCAGTAGGCCCGGCATAGTAGTAGTGGGTGACTTCATGCTGTCCACCTGCTGAGAACCAAGGGGATAATCACATGGGGAACATTTATTAGAACACTACAGCCCTGAGTGGGGGCAGGAGGGGAGAGAGAAGAAGAGAGACTGTGTGTCTGCGACTCTCAGGATCAGACGGAGGGTCACAGGCATGACAGACCAAATGTTCTGCCCTGAGCTACACCTGGCACATCTCCAGCCCCAGGACCCTTGCTATCTTTATGACCCAATTTCATCATCTGACAAATAGAAATAATAGCAGTGTGTACCTTACCAGGCGAGACAGTTTATATAGAACAACTTACACGATTCCTGCCTTGGAAGAACTGATACCAGGGATAAACTGCCAAATAGTTCTCATGACTCTAGAGAGGTGCAAATCTGGCCCTTTACTAAAGAAGATGTGAAGGTCAAACCCAGAGCCTTGTATATGCTAGGCAAATGCTCTACCACTGACCCCAAAGTTTATAATTATATATATATATATTTTTTTCTTTTTGGGGGAATGTTTCACTGTGTAGCCCTGGCTGTCTTGGAACTCACTCTGTAGACCAGGCTGGCCTCAAAATCACAGAGATCCACCTGCCTCTGCCTCCTGAGTGCTGGGATCAAAGGTGTGCGGCACCACCACACGCAGCAATTATAATTTTTAACATCTTACTTTTCTCAGTAATATTGTTACAGTTCATCATCAAGAAAAACTCCTTCTCTCAGCACTTGGAATGTAGAGGTAAGCATATCTCTGTGAATTCGAAGTCAGTGTAGTCAACAGAGAGGTGCCAGAACAGCCAGGACTGTTACACAGAGAAACCCTATCTCAAAAAAGTACCAAGGGGGGGGGAGAGACTTCCTTCTTCCTTCTTTGTTGGGTCCTGGAAGGAAGCAGGTGGTACACGAGAAAGGGCTGGGTTATTTGGAGAGAATTCCTTGAGGAAGCAAAAGCTGAAATCATAGGAGAGCTCGTTCAGGTTCTCCCTGAGCAAGTGTGATGACAGCAGCCAGGACAGGCGCTCTGTGTGTCGTCACCTTTGGGTGAAGATGGATGGTGGCGCTCAGGTCAGCCTGCGGGACTGCAGACTGCAGGGAGTGAGTCGGTCTCCTCCCTGACGTCTGTTCAGGAGTTCTGTGGGGAGTGCCGTGTAGTTGTGGAGGAAAGGATTCTGTCACCTGCCCACACTGTCTTCTCAGTTTCTCACCAAGGGGATAATTAGAGGAGGAAAGCAAACAAATGTCCTGGAGTTGGTAGATTACAGGAATGGGGTGCTGGGGAGTGGAGATGACAAATCCTCTAGAGACCCCATTCCTGGGCAAATGACAGGAAAATTAGGAAGAAGCACCACCTCGAGATCTCTCCCTTCTCTGGCACCCCTGTGTCCCCAAGGTCTCCTTTGCCTAGACAAGAAAGGCACACCCGTCACCTTCACCAGGCAGATAATGCCACCACGTTTACACTAGTTCTTAAAGAGCCAGAGGATCAAGGGAATGGGAGCAAGCCTCTTCCTTTGAACTCTATTCTAAGCAGGGAAGAAAAAGCATGTATTTATGTTTGCAGTGGTACGCTTAGGCTCTGGTATTTGCGTGTGCATAGGGAAGGTATAGATTTCAGTGTGAGATTAGAATGTACAGCTCTAGACAAACTAAGAATGTCGGACTGGAAGGTCTGTCAAATGGAGGTGAGAGTTATCACCATCCTAGATGCCTGTGTGTCGTTCATATTTAATAATCCAGCATTTCCCAGTCCGTATTCCATACAGCAACAGGAACATAACTCCCAGGATGCTGGGAGCTCTTGGGTTAGGACATGCTGTGGTACCTCTGCTGTAGATCTGTGATGTGCAAAGTTCTGAAACATATTATGTAATGTGTAAATATACATACGTGAGCATACGTGTGCTTATACACACACATTCAGTTTTCCGTTGAATTATCCTACCTGTCTGGGTCAGATGTCAGTCTTTGGAAACCCAAAACACATCAGTTAGCAAGTTTTATTTGGAATAACATATTGGCAAAAAAATAGAACTCGGAAAAATGTATATGATAAACTCCCAGATGAGTTAACTTTATGAAGTTAGCCCTACTTTATAGTCCCGTGCACTGCTAAACCTCTTGGCCTTTTTAAAAAGAGCTGTTGCTGCTTTAAGTTCTAGACCCGGTAGATGGAAAAGTGCACTTTTCGCCAGGCGGTGGTGGCGCACGCCTTTAATCCCAGTACTCGGGAGCAGAGGCAGGTGGATCTCTGTGAGTTCGAGGCCAGTCTGGACTACAGAGCTAGCTCCAGGACAGCCGGGGCTACTCAGAGACACCCTGTCTTGAAACCTCCCCCGCAAAAAGTATACTTTGCTATGCTTCCTTTGTATGTAAGCTATGCATACCTTTGTATGTAAACTAAATCCATACTTTTGTACGTAAAGTCACGGACTGTAAGGCAGATGTAGCCCAGTTGATCGTGACTCATTTGCATCTGACTGCAGTGGAGTTCTGCCAGAGGCTATCCCCAGACGTGGATTCTTTCGCCTTGCTCAGAAACAAATGTTTATGTTTTATAAAGAGTTATGGATGGAGGTCTTTGAAGTTTTTTGTTTGTTTGCCTCATCTTCCTTTTCCCCCTCTTCCTCCTCCTCCTCATCTTGGCATATGCTTGTGTGTGTTACGTATGCAGGTTCATGGGTGTGTAGGGCTGAGAAGTTCAGGTAGGTGTCTTCCTCAGTTGCTGTCTATTTATGGAAGCAGAGTGTCTCGCTGGATATGGAGCCTGTGAATCCCAGCTGGTCGAGCTAAGCAGTGCCCAGAGGATCCTCTGCTTCGGCTGGCATTACAGATAGCCACCACACTTGCCTGACACATACCACGGCTCTGGGCACCCAAATTGCCTCATGCTTGCCTGGCAAGTGCTTTTTCCTACTGTACCATCCCCCCCAGGCCACAGAAGCCCCACATTTTGTGACAATGTTTTAGTGAATCAGAAGATTCTCTTGTGTGGCAGTCTTACCCACCCTTAGGTGCATGTCTCTTTACATGGTAGAACTTGCTTCTCTATCTTGTCCTAAAACTACTGCAGCCAGTACAGCATAAATCAGAATGAGGACCAGAGTCCCAGATAAACGGTGATTGCTGTGTGCATGAGGGGCCTGCAACAATTTTTGTTATTCACAAGGCACAAGTATAAAGCTTCTAAATTCTTTCATTTAATACGCATAGCAGTATATACTATACTTGTGTGAAAAATAAAACTTCACTGTTTTCTTTTCAAACTTCTCCCTTTGTATTTCAGAGACAATTGTAATTGTTTTAAAAAAATTAATGACATTTATTTATTTATTTATTTATTTATTTATTTATTTATATTGTAGCTGACTGTGTGTGTCTCTGTGTATGTGCATAAGCAGTAAGGATTGAACTCAGGTCAATCCAGGCTATTAGGTTTGGCATCCAGCACTTTTACCTGCTGAGCCAGTTCCTACCTGAGATTATAATCTTGTGGATGATAGTTTCCTTCCTCCAAATTCATGAGTAGCAGAGTAGTGTTTTGAGAAAATTACGTATGTTTTCTCATTCATGAAAAAAACCCACAAATTTAACCTGACATTTGT